TTGTCTCGAAACTGTTTTCTGACATCCAAATGAGACGATGAGATTTCTCGACATTCGTTCTGTTGACAGTGTTTCAACCTGTAATTTTGAGGTACTTTCCTTTACGCCTCATTGAGCCGCCCTGATAAAACCATTAGATCTAACTTTAAACCTTCATGTTGTAAAAGGATCCATGTGGGTTCAGCTTCACTGTGTATCAGCTGATCTCTGGTTTGTAGACCTGGTTGTATTCCAGCAGGATTCTCAGTATGTGTGTGTGTGTGTGTGTGTGTGATGTTGGCTGCAGGCCTGCTCAATCCGGATCAAAGACGACTAAACCTTCAAGACAAAAGCTGCTCATTTGCTCTGAAGGAGGTGATGGAGAGTCAGAGAGAGGGGCTGGAGCTGGAGGAGGTGGTGGTTAGGAGGGGGTTGTAGCCTAATAGCTCCTTGAAATTAAGTTGATAATTAATTGTGCAAATTTGTTTCTATTAAATAAGAATAACAGGTCTTGAAGAGCTCAATTAGCGTTAATTAATCCTGCCTCTAAACTGGGTCTAAATATGAGGCAGGGGTTTGGAGGACTTTCTCTTCTTCTTCTTCTTCTGTGATATTATTTCTCTGATTCTTTCTAACCTCAGGGTCTTTTTCTTCTCCGATTATGGAGGCTGGGCAGCCATTGCACTCTCTCCTCCTCTCCTCTCCTCTCTCCTTTTTTTCCCTCTTGCCTCCTCTTGAGAATTGGAAATGGGGGATGGAGACGGGGAATGTGGAAGGTGCTAAATTAGCTGGCTGATCCGCGCTCATTGCCGCATACACATCCCCCTATTACCGCGCCCCGGCGCCGCTTAATATTCCGGGCATGGCGGGCGCGTCTAGATAGCAGATTTATCAAATGGGAAAATGAATGTATGATGATCAGTTAAATTGAAAATCAGCGCCCGGGTGACAGGCCGCGCTGACACCTCGGTAATTAGAAAGAAAAATGATGGCGTCCGAATGCATAATAGAGCAAAAACAATTTACGCTATCCCCCCACGCCGTAATGATCGCGCGCTCAAATTGAAAATTTCTCCCGGTTGAAATTGAATTCATAAAGTGTGATGCATGAGCGGCACGAGCTCAGCGGGAGGGCCGGACCGGGCCAGGCTCGGGTTTGATCGATTGGTCGTTTGTGCTGGTGCCACCAAACAACCTCCCCCTCTCTCTCTCTCCCTCCTCACCCACTGACTCACCCTTTCCCACTGAGAGGCTTTATTCTCCCTGGGCCCAAAAGTGAATAATAAGATAGTCAGCTGGATTACAGGCCGACTGTAGAAGATCTCAGATTTGTTTTTTGCTTTTTCTTTGCGTGGAGACTGCAGCTTAGTTTCATTTTTAGTCTATTTCAAAGTCAGGAGCTCATAAAACCAGAAAAACACACAGAAGGCTGTTAATAACACACTACAGCATCAGGAAAACCCATATGAAGTAGGGGAGACCAGGGATGGTCGCCACAGAGGTAATCCGGCCAAAAATAAGAGCGTTTATGTAGGTTATCATGTTCATATTAAGCATTTTACTAATTTTTACACTCAGAAGTTTTGGTCGGCTAGTTAAAACCTGTTAGAAAAAGTTAAACACGGTCTGTAGTTTACTTTTTAAGCTTGTTACGGGTCATTTTTAGTCTGTTTGTTGGTTAAATGAGATCAAGAAAACAGTCGGCACAAATGTCTGTTACAGCCCATACCGAGGCTTAATTCTCCCTGGGCCTAAAAGTTAATAATAAGATAGTCAGCTGGATAACAGACCGACTGTAGCGTTTGCCCGTTTTTTTAAGAGATCTCAGATTTGTTTTTTCTTTTTCTTTGCATGGAGACTGCAGCTTAGTTTCATTTTTAGTCTATTTCAAAGTCAAGAGCCCATAAAAACAGAAAAAAAAACACACAGAAGGCTGCTAATAACACACTACAGCATCAGGAAAACCCATATGAAGTAGGGGAGACCGGGGATGGTCGCCACAGAGGTAATCCGGCCAAACATAAGAGCGTTTATGTAGGTTATCATGTTCATATTAAGCATTTTGCTAATGTTTACACTCAAAAGTTTTGGTCAGCTAGTTAAAACCATTAACCCTTTATTAGGAGGTTAACTGGGATATTTAAGTTTGTTAGAAAAAGTTCTGTTGTTTTTTTGTTTAAGCTAGTTACGGCTAATTTTTAGTCTGTTTGTTAGTCAACTCAGATCAAGAAGACAGTCTGAACAAATGTCTGTTTCAGCCCGTACAGTTTCAAAAGTTATAGCTAGCTTAGACACCTACTTATCTAACTGATAGCTTTGTTAATATCAGACAGTCATTATTCTTTATTATTTTTTGTTTATATGTTTATTTGGTCCTGTTTGTATTTTTGGCGGTCCTTGTCCCTTTTTAGACTTTTGTTTTTTCGCATTTGTACATAACTTCATTTTGAAACAAAAAGACATACAGAGGTTAGCATTTTTTTTAGATGTTATTAAACCGATTTGATGTCTATACTTCTTCAGAACAACAACAAAAACTTAAACTTTTACAAAAAATTTTACTTTTTAAAAAATACAAAACGCCATGTGTAGCTTAGAGGAATCACCTCTATCACCAATAACATGCTCATAGTGAATCAGGGTGTTTCTTTATGATAATGAATTAACCCCAAAGCTTCTGTAGATGTTGATCAGAGGTATAAACAAACCAAGCGTCTGCATAGGGCCCGTGGCCAGTAGGGGGCCCCCCAAGAGCAATAAAAAAAAATTTAAAATATTTTTTATTTTTTGCATGTATGAGTAAGGCATTATTGTAAAAATAGAATAAAATAAAAACATTTTAGTGCTGCTGCAGGTGTGTTTGGTAGGTATGTAGAGCTTGGTAGGTATGTTTGCATGTCATAGAGTGTTAATCACAGCGATCTGTGAAGGTGTAGAGGGGCCCCTAAATCAAATTTTGCTTAGGGCCCCATTGAGGCTTGGACCGGCTCTGATGTTGATCATACACTCAAGTAAAAGTGTGACAACTAACCCAGTTTCCCCTATTTCCTGTCTCTTATCTGCACATAAGGCAGTTTCATTTTTAAAATCTCCAAAATCATAAAAATTCTCAAAAAAATCAGTCAAATATCACAGGGACTTTTTCAGACTATTAAGGGCCTCTCTTCTTCTTTTTCTTCTTCTTCTTCCTCAGCTCAGTGGGCCTCCTGTCTCCTCTTTATTCCATTAAATGTTTGTCTAATTTGCTTAAACTCAAAAAAAAAAAACAAAGAGGCTTATACAGGCCCCTGTCTCTCGCTCACACTTAAAAAAAAAAAACAGGCCTCACACTGGAGGGGATCAAACCTGTATTTTCTAATTAATCTACTCTTGAAACCAACCGGTTATAATGAAGCGTTTCGCCCTCCAAATAAGAGCGGGAGAATAAAAGTAGAAATTTCACAGAGTGCGCGCGGAATGAACGATTTAATGTGATTGTTTCGGTCGAAGGGGACGTTTCCTGAGGCCTTATGGGAAAATAATGTCCTTATGAATTAAATAATAGGGTTATTACTTTTATTGATTTTAGCTGTCTGGGAATTTAGTGTTGAGCTCGGGTCTTAACCCATCCTCCTCCTCCTCCTCCTCCTCCTCCTCGTGCTGTTTTTCACTCTGGCTCCCTCCTCGTGCTCTTGTCTAATTATTTTCCTATAAGCCCCCCGCTTCCTTCAGCGCAAATAGCAGAGTCACTGAGCGAAAATTATGTAAATATTATTAAAGGGACTCAGGCACGGAAATTCATTTTAGGTCGGCGCAGCAAAGTAAAGCTCTGTCCCTCGGATCCGCCTCAATTTATTTGCAAATAAAGGCGAGGTGACCGGGAGGGATCAGGGATATTTAGCCGGCCTGTCAACACGGCTCCTCCGCCAGAATTAATGGTTTTAATAATTGGGATTTCAGTTTCCGGGGAATTGGTGGCGTTTACACTTCATGAGCCAAACACACTCTTTTCACCTGGAGTTGAATGTGGCTTTTCTTCTTCTTCTTCTGCTCCTAATTCAGCCATTCTTCACTTTCCATTCCTGCTGCTGCTGCTGCCTTACTTTTTTATGAGCTCAGCCAACAATTGGTCAAAAATATTTTTATTAATGCAAGCCTAGAACATCACCCTCCCTCCCTCCCTCCTCTCCCTCCCTATATCTTTATCTGTCTCCCCCCGGGGGACTCACAGTCCTATTAGAACAAATGACGAGGGGCCCCGGCGCTTTTTGTAAAAAGGCGCAGGCAGACGGGCGCGCGCCTGTCCTATTATGTGCGACACATGATCAATAGGGCGATAACGCAGCAACATCAATATAAGCGACAGAACAATGAGGGATATCATCGAACATCTATCTTAATATAGCCGACTACAAGGGCCGTCTGACAACCGCGGCAGCTCATGAAAATTCCGCCCCACGAATCAGGCACCATCTCATCCGCCTCCTCCTCGCGCTCAATAGACTATGCGCCCTCACGCGCTCCTCGCAAACACGCACACATCCACGCTGCAGCTGGCGAGGCTATTATTTTCCCATTTCAATTTGACACCCCTGCCTTTCATGCTAATTCTATTATTGTAGGAAGTTTATGTGATTCCATATCACTGGAAATCGGTAATGTCTAATAACCCTTTGGGCTGGAAGGAGGGAGGAGGAAAAAAAAAAACTGCCTCGAGACCCGCGCGCCAGCCAGTGGGAAAATAATTACTTTCATATCAAAACTCAGCAGGAGGCGCAGGGTCCTATAGCCCGCGGCCACTAACCTCATTCCAGCTCGGCCTTTCAAATGAATAAATTTGTTAAAGCAATAAATACAAACAGCCAGACGGACTTAAAGCTGCAGCTCCGGCTCACTACACACAGGAAAAAAGAGGATTTATCTGCTGTAACACCTCCAAACTCCGGCAGCCATGATCCAAGGTTCACCACACACAAACCCTGCCCTCTTCCTTCTTCACCTTTCCACCCTCATCCTCATCCTCCTTTTTCAAAGACAGGGAATCCATTTAAACAATAACTTTATTTATCAAAATGTGTACATATAAATATTTTCTCGTTTTTACAATATCTGAGGATTTTTGTTGTGTGTGAGCCGAGTCTTTTCTTACAAGTTGGTCGCCAAAAAAGAGAGAGAGAGAGAAAAAACCTGCTTCTAAAAGGTGTTTTTGAAATGAGGACAGCCGCAGCTTTCCTGTCTGTGGCCATCTGGATTGATCACACATCATGATTAAAAAATAGATGAGAATTAAGTCTCCTGGTTCCTGATATGTTTTCGAGTGTCTCAGCAGAGCTTTGGGAATGTTTGACTAGTCGGAGCGCTGTTCCTGGTCCTTTGTTTGTTTGCTCCTCGCAAAGTGTTAGTCCATATCGACATCCTCTCCATCTGTTCCGGGTGTTTCTTGACAGTCTGTGTTTGCCTCGAGACGCTTAGAGAGGTCTGGAGAAGCTCGCTCCTCTCTTACACTCTTCTCTGTCGGCTCTTCTTGGCAGCCGTCCGTCCGAACTTTCTGACTCGACTCCTCGCCGATGTCTCTGGACTGCGAGGAGGTCAGCCTGGCCAGAGCCGCGCCGTTCAGTGGAGAAGAAGAAACCGGAAGTCTCGCTCGGCACTCCTCCGCCTCCGCTCCCTCCGCTCTATTGCTAACGTGGTTGAGTTGGTTCTGCGAGTTCTGCTCCGTATGATCCGAGTTTAGAGGCGTGGGGACGAATCTGGAGAGGTCGGAGGGAGCGGGGCTGCCTTCGCTCGGCACGCACCTCTGTCCCAGCCTGTCCTGACACGGCGAGGCCTTGAGGGCGGTTTGGGGCACGAGAAAACCCAAGGGCTGATGGGTAATGGGGTAAAGCAGAAAGTGGCCTTTCCCTACCAGAGTCCTCTGCCCTGGCAGTGAAGGGAAGTCCAGAGGGGGTTTGCGTCTCGGCGTGGCGTCAGAGAGGAGGCTCTCCACGCTGAAGGGGTTGCGTTTCTGCAGGGCGGAGGATCTGGGGCCTCCTCCCGGGCTGGAGCTGTGCGTGCTGCCCGGAGAAACCTGCTCCGGCTCTCCCGCTGTTCTTTGGTTTTGGTGGTTTTGTAGTTGGCTGAAGTTGTGCCCTGTTTGGTCGCAGCTGGATTCGGTCGGGTGTCCTCCTGCACCCTTATTTGCTGGCAGTTCAAGATGGATAGTCCCGTTGACGCTCGACGTCTGCTGCTCGCTGTCGGTGAACTGGGAGACGCCGCTGTCGCTCTCGGAGCCTCCGGGCGTGTGGAAGCTGTCGCCTGAGAGGAGTTTGTTCTGGGACTTCAGCAGTTTCCTCTCCTGTTTGCGTTTCTTCTTCTCGGCACGCTCCTGCTCCCTGCGTCGGATCTCCTCGGGGTCCATGGGCTCGCCGCTGCACGTGGTCGGATGGGAGTTGTGAGCGGGCCGGCCCGGGCCTTTCTTTGTGTTTTCTTTTTTTCTCCATTTGGCTCGCCGGTTCTGAAACCAAACCTGTGCAAACAAAGACAGAATCACAGTCATTATAAACTCATTAAGCTTAAATTCACTGAATCTTTGACGTCTTTTTCTCTTAAAGTCAAAATCTGTGAAAAATATTCGTAAATATTAGTATCAAACAGCTCAGATTAAGGTCTAAATGAGCCGATGAAATGATTAGGTGATAACACAAAATTAATAGTTAATCATTTATATCATTCATCATTTGAGAAGGCTCCCCTGTGAGAGATAACTGATCTTAATTGAACAAACCCTTTCAAAATAAAAGTTGAGAATGAGGATATTCAGCTTTTTCCTGCACTGTTAAACCTCATTAAAAAAAATCTAACTTACATTAATTATTACATTAATTATTCTGAGTTCAACTTCAGCCCTCAGGTGAGTAAAATTTAAATTTAGTGTTGTATTTAGCAAAAAATTTTTTAGTGTATTATTTTTTTTTTTGTGTGTATTTTTTTTTTAGTGTAGTTCACCTAAACTTGTGTTTTCACGTTCATGACTTACCTTAGTAAGTAATAATTAATTAATTCAACCTTATTCTTTCATAATAATATCATTAATAATGTCAAGTGTGTGTTTAGAATGAAATATATTTGTGTTTTGGCTTTTGTATGGAAATAAATTTCAATTAAACACATTCCTATTGACCTTTAGGAGCTATTTTATAAAAATTTTCAGACTTAAAACAATAAATAAATTCACCAAAAGTCAACATTAAACAATGATTATAAATAATAAAATAGGCACACATTATTTCTAGGTCTGACCTGAACACACACATCTTTATCACTATCACAAATACCACCTTTATGGAGACCCTATGGGAGTACTTTGATTAAATCTGTTATATTTCATGATTTAATATTGTGGGTTTTTTGTTAAATTTCCTCCATAAAGATCCTCAAAATAATAATATTGTTAGAGTGAGTTCACACTGAAATAGGCCATGGATAAAATGTCAGTCAGAGCTCACACCTGTCATGATAATACATCAGATGTTTTCAGGACAAAACCAACACTGCCTTCAAATCCAAACAAACTCCACAAAACCCCCAAACCAGTGAGTCTTTGTCCTGCTTTTCTCCTGTCTAAGACGTGTTTATGTTCCAGGTGAGCAGGTCACAGAGGTGGAGCAGCGCATGAACGCACGTGCTGGTGTTAATTACCAATGAGTCTGATCGACAATTACGTCTAAATGCGCCGTAATACCCCCCTCCTCTAACACCGAGCCAACACACGGAGCTTCCCCCCCGCCCGGGAGCGTTCGTGCCCGGCCTCTGGGCGCGCTCAGGGCCGCATGTTGGGCGCTGATAACGGCAGGAGTTTAGCATGCACGAGTAGGATCGGCGCACGTTTCATAAAGCTGGACGGGGGGCAGCGACATCATGTGCGACAAAAGGCGCGTCTTCTGAATTGTTAATGTTGGTGATATCTTTCCCCCGCAAAGCCCGCTGATAAAGGAGCGTTAAGCAGCTTGAGGGAACAATAATCTGAGGTTTAGGAGCGAAATCCCCAAACAACATCCAGCTGAGTGTGTGTGCAGCTTTGACTGCAGGCAACCAGGCATGAGGAGCGAGTGTGGAGATCATTTCACATACAGAGAGATATACATATACATATATATACATGTTAAATTACACTGAATATCATCAACAACACATGGACTGATTTAGGAAATGATGCTCCATATTTCTGTCTCCTGTATCTGAATAACCTACACTTCGAAAATTACTATATCATTGTTATCTCAATAAATTAATATTATAACCTCTGATTATCAACATGTTATATTTTTGCAAAATTATGGCAACAGTTTAAAATAATGCATTTATTATTATTAGAATAATCATGATTATTATCTATTTTATTCTGCAAGAGAGGTAAACAATGGTTCTTATGTGGCACTAAAACATGCTTTTAAATATAGATGTTATTATTAAAAATAATAATAATTATTATTTTTTAAGAATACATATTATTTTTGTAAATCATAATTTTTAATTTTATTTTATAGTATTTTTTTTAATTTAATACTTTGTTGTGTTGATGTGTTTTCTATTGATTTTACTACTCTACTGATGTGTCTTTTAATTGCCCTGTAAGGTGTCCTTGAGTGCCCTGAAAGGCGCCCACAAATAAAATCTATTATTATTATTATTATTCCATATTAAATCAACTATTTTGATAATCCCAGGCCTTTATTCCTCAATTGTTTTAATTGTATTTTCAGGGTTAAAAAGATGGTTTGAATATTAAAAGAGATTACCTTGTCCCTCTTGGTTAGCTCAGTAACTAGCCTTGTTTTTTATTAACCCACAAATCAATAGTTAGCCTGCATGCATAATTCAAAAGAGGCTTTATTGATGCTCTGATCATTGACAAACAGTGATCAGAGTGAGGAGCAGGCCTCCATGGGAACCAATCAAACCCTCTAAAGTCGAATATCAACATTTTTACTAAAATTAAAGACTCCTGAAAAATATCAACAACCATGATCATGAATTCATCAGTCAGTCATGTCTTTACCTGAACCCTGGACTCCACGAGGTCGAGCCTGAGCGCGAGCGCCTCCCGCATGAACACATCCGGATAGTGACTCTCGTTGAAAGCCTTCTCGAGCTCCTCCAGCTGCCACCCGGTGAAATTTGTCCTCGTGCGTCTCCGTTTGCAACCGGGACTGTCCTTATCCGGGTCCCCCGAATCTGCAACGTGCGTGTGCGTGTGTGTGAGTGTGCATGTGCATATGTGTGTGTAAAAGAGAGGAGAGTGTCATGAATTGGCTTGAGTGATCATTGTCACACCCTCATTTTAAAAGACTAATTTACTTTAATAGACTCTTTTAAATTAACTCATTGAATTCAGGCGATAAAAACACATATTTTTGTTTTATATTTGATGTTTAAAACACAGCTAATAATCCACAAAATTCACTTTTAACCAGCTGATACCACTTTGATCCACATTTACAACAATTGTACCATTTACCTTCAATTATACCTGCAGTTACAATGCTCCTAGAATTACCAAAACTTTTAGAATTCCCTTAAAATGCACTAACACCCAAAACTTTTCAGCCAAGATCAGACATTAAATGCATCAAACATCAAAAAATATAAATAAATGAGCTTTTAAATGAGCTAAATTCGCCTTGTTTTCAAAATTTAAAAATAATAAGATGTCTAAATTAATGATAATTTCTTTTATAATGGGTGTTTTTGTTTTTTCGGGTGATATTTCTATGAGGCAGGAGACAAAGAGGCCGGCCTACCTGAGAGTTTGAACTGCTGGCTGTCTGGAGAGAGCAGCGGGTTCGAGTTGACCACAGAGGCCGAGCACGAGCCGTTTAGTAATCCGTCTATCGAGAAGGGGACGGCGGCCGCGGACTGCAGCTGGTGTCCGCTGGCGAGCTCGTAGACGTGCTGGTGATGGTGGTGGTGGGGGTGGTGGTGATGATGGGGACCGAGCGGGTACGGGAAGCCCACCAGCCCGCCCAAAGAGCCTCCGAACTGGGTGTGGGGATGCTCGAGGACCCGACTGTCCATGCTCGCCCGGGCTGCGGCGGGGCCGAAGTGAAGATGCGGAGGGGGGCGGCGGTGTGGCTGAACATGCAGTCAGGAGGAGAAAAAGTCTGGGAGGAAGAGGAGGAAGAGGAGGAGGAGAAGAGGGGAGGAGGAGGAGGAGAACCCGGGCAGACGGCCGTCTCCCGCGGCCACGGTTCGGTCTGACGTGAGGGCGGATGGGTCCGGGGCTGCACGAGGTATTTCACGTTCACAGTCCAGCCGAGATGTCAACCCTGCTCTTTCTCTCCGCGCGAGCCAGCTCATTAGGACTCCTCCATCTGCTCGCGGGACCAATAAGAAACGTTAATCGCCCCGTGACGTCAGAGACGCGGTTAATGGAGAAGGCAGAGCACGAGAGAGAGAAAGAGAGAGAGAGAGAGGGTTTCTTTCTGTTGTCCGGATCGATCGCTAATTACACCTGGCGCGCTCCTGTCAAAACAACGAGGCGCGTGGAGACGAGCGCGTGATTGACAGGAGGACTCTATTATACCAGCTGATAATGAAATACGTGGTTTTTATTTTCTTCTTCTTCTCCTAACTTCACAACCTATCACTCTTTCTGTCTTTCTCTCCTTCTCCGTGGGTCCTCTTCTCTCCCTCTTCTCGCTCGCGCTCGGTCCGTGTATGCGCGCGTGTTTAACAGGGGCATTCAGGGCCAGATTGATCCAATAACAGCGCCTTTATCACCCCCCCTTTTCCTGGGCTGTCACATCGCATTTTAAACTACAAGCCTCTCTCCATCTCCCGGACACACACACACACACACACACACACACACACACACACACACACACACACACACATCGTATCCAGTGCGTGTTTGTGTGTGTGTGTGTGTGTGTGTGTGTGTGTGTGTGTGTGTGTGTGTGTGTGTGTGTGTGTGTGTGTCGTCCATTCAAAGCCAAACTCCGCATCATTATCTCGATTTTTCACCTGAGCAGCTTACACCCGTGTTTAGTTGTAAATGACGAAGCCGGTGGGTTGTACAAGACGTGACGTTTCCCACAATTCAATACTGGCACGAGCAGCCTCCATTCAGCCTCCACTGAGTTCAGACCATTCAGGCTCTTTGCTGCTGGGGAGGGAATCCACTGCATATAATGCTGTTTTTTTTCTGGATCCATCAAACAAGCTTAGGTGCACTAGTTTGGGAATCTGTACGATCGATATCGAACTAAAACTGATTGATTTACTTCTGTATCATTGATGGGAAAGTGCGAAAAGGTTAAAATGTCAAGATATAAACAATAAGCATTTAAAGCTCATGTGGGTAACTTCAGTTGTGTCATATTTGGCGCCCCCTAAGACTGCACAATATTGGAAAAAACTAATATGACATTTTTTTTTCAACTCTGCGATGTATATTACGATATTTAAAAATACAGGAATTTTCCCCAGATGACCTGAATAGCCCTTTATGCTAAAATCTTTTACAGGTTTACAGAAACGCTAATATCTCTACCTCTGTAGCAGATAGAAACAAAATTCAGGAGGTATTTGAGAGCTCCTACACGTGGCTTTCAAGATAACTTTCTTTTATTTTTCCGAACCTTCATCACATTATTTAAAACCTTGAACAAACAAACTCAAATGAAATAAAGCGGCTGTATAAATAAAGGCTCCTCACTGGAGAATGGCAAAAAATTGGCTTTCTGTAAAACAAGTGGCAGTCATGATAAAGTGTTCTTTTAATACAAATGTAAATATAAGAAATAGAGTGTTGAAAGGGTATGCAGCTGCCCCAGTATAGTGCCAGTACAAAAGCAGCTCTAAAAACTAATAAATAAATCAATAAATAAGTGGCTGACAGTGTGTTCATGCCCGTGCTCACCCAAAGTCATGCAACACTCAGAGAAATCGCTGATAGTGTGAGTCAAAGACATCAATATGAAGAGGTTGTTCACACTGCTGGATGTTTCTCCTCTGAAGCTGCTACAAAATGGCGTCTCCGCGCTCCCAGCTTGAAGGTTGAAATGCGGACATGCTGTCCCGGTTTAAATGGGTAAACCTGCACTGATCTTACCTCTTCTTGTGAATGTTAGTAGAATGGCTTCTGTCTGTCTTTGAGATATTTTTAGTTTGCTTTTATTGTTCTGGGACGTTTTTGTGGAAACAGATGAACACAGAACATGTGATTTGGTCGACGTCATCCTTCTTGTAACCGAAATAATTCCAGATTACAGACTTTCCTTTTCTTTTTGGCAACAAGTCTTTTTCGATGGTTTTCTCTTGTTTGTTGCTCATTTTGCAATCGTTGTTGTTGTTGTTGTTACCGGTGTTGTGCCGAAAAAAGGCATGTCTGCTGAGAGTTGCATGCACTTGCAAAATGCGCACCGCTAACAGTAATAGCTAATATAGAACCCATACAATTCTTATTTGTGGGGCTAAACAGTGATGAGTAATGTTCCAAAAGTAATTCTCAGTGGACACGCATTTCTTGGCACAACACTGGCAGCACCAGCGACTCACTCCATGTGTAGGGGCGTGGTTTCCTCCTCTCTGATTTTGATTGACGGCTGGCAATGTAGTCTGATTGGCAACTGAGTACAGAAGGAATGTGATTGGTGGATCGCTGCACAGCACATGCAGTATCTCAGTAAGCTACCCTTGAAATTAGATGAGTTCCTCCGACGTCGTAGGTGATAATCGCGCACAAGTACATCACAATGACGATGCTCAAACGATATATCGTGACGCTCTAGCGCCCCCTGTTGACAAAATATTATTTATTTATTTATTTAAACATGTCATGTATTGTGAATATTTCAGCTGTCTCCTCTTCTGCTCTGCTGTTAAAAATTATAGTATGTTTTCTGTTTTATATCATAAACAGGCCTCAGTATGAATGTCAATTATTGTCATAAATGTTAAAACCCTCCAAACAGGATCTTTGGCGCTTCTGTGTTAAACCGTTGGACAAAGTCACTCATTTTATTTCTTCGCTTATTTTGTCCCACACTTATTTTCTAAAAACCATTAAATGTATCATAAGTGTAAAATATTTTATGTGAAAAAGAATGTGTTTTCAGACATAAAAAATGACTGTTTTTGTTGCTAATGGTTTTATTTGCTTTTAGGTTATTAAGATTAATCAGTAATCATAATTTCAGTCTGTTTTATGACCTGGTAAATACTCTTAGTTTTTAGGGGTGGGAATCAGTAGTGGGGATATTATCACGATACTTAGGCCCAGTTCGATATTATTGGGATTTTTAACACTTTGCGATACAGTGAGTATTGTGATACAATATATTGCGATTTATACAATATTTTCAATGGTTTAGCTAATTCAGCATTTGTCTTTGCTTTGCATTTTATTTTCATGTAGCACATCTTGCAAACAAATGGTTGATTTTATTTTTCCATTATCATAGATTTGACTTCGCATTAGCAATTAATTTGAAAGAATCAATACTTGGTATATGAAACAACACGATATATCACCAGACAAAATATCGCAATACTATGCCGTATCGATTTTTTCTCCCTCCCCTTCAAGTTATGAAGCAGAACCTGCATCCTGTTACATATGGACAAATATTCCCATTTCTACACACTGCACTTTAAAGGTCCATTTCGTAATTTCTGGGGCTTTTGTTTCCACCTCATGCCCTTTGACTATCATAGTGTCAGAGTCTCATACTAACATAACTCATATTAACAGGACAGGTGAGGTTTTTTTTTTTTTCACCAATCTGACCCACGTTTGTGCTCAACCACACAACGGACAGACACAAAGCCTTTAAAGGCACAGAGTCACAGCGGCTGGTGATTAGCATTAGAAAAACACAGGAACAAATGGACACAGAGGGCCCTGGCGGTGTTAAGTAAACAGCGATCAGTGCTCCGCCATGTCCTGTTAGAGAATCGTAGATCGTTAGTCAGGACACAAAGAACAACATGCATGAAACTGGACTTCTTAATGTGGACATAATTCACGCTCCGCTCTTTTAGAAGACACTCAGAATTAAAGTCTGTGGCCAAAATTACCTTTTAAAAAGCAAGGCGCCCTTAAGGAGACGGTCTAATCATGCAGTTGGGTCAAAGTGATGCTGTTGTCTTCACATTAAAAGGAAAGAGGACTGGTGTGAGTGTGTGTGAGTGTGTGTGAGCCCTCTTTAAAACAAGGGTTAGCTGTGGTCTTTAAAGATGATTCCAGGTAGAAGCAGAAAAGGACTCTTCAAACCAGAGTGTACGCTCATGTTGATTAAGACGTTAACGGAAAAACACTTAAGTAGCAAATGAGCATAGCATATGTAATTAGTATCCATGCATTTTTTAATTAAAGAGGATTCCCTTAATCAAGACTAAAGCTGGAGTTATAATTCTCCAGGCTGCAGCAGCATTGCTCACATATGTCGCCGATATGGTTTGCTTTTACTCCTGTATTTGACTCAGTGCTTCTCTGTTTCAAACCACCTAATGACTGCATGTAAATTAACCGGGATTGGCCGGTCTGAGGTGCAGATTCCCTACATCTGTGAACCTTTGCACCCTCAGCTCTGGCGTAGTATCTAGAGAAAGCCGATAAATTGAGCTTATAATTGACATTTTGTAATAATCAGCATGAATCGGTCTGAAGTTATAAAAGTTTGGGGCCTAATGTAGCTGTTAGCCAGGGAGCTTGCACCTGACTCAACTCCACCTCTTTGCCTGTTGCTAGGACGACCAATAGTTGGGTTATCTCACCATTTCCAATATGGCAGCTGTCAATGTTTGGCTTTAAACCGTTGAGTAACATCACGGGGAGTCTGTCCATCCTGTATGTTTACATTCACTTTCTTCCACTCACCTTCTTCCTTATGTTTATACTGTTATGCTGTTTATATTGTTATCTTTATTTTGTAAATGATTGTTGTTTCGTCTTTTATATACAGCATTTTGAGATCATACAAGTCAAAAAGCGTAAAAAGGTTCAATTAAATGTCATATTTAAAGACATTAATATCAGTCTGATGATGTTGAGAGATGCAGACAATAAAAGAGGGATAAATGACACACTTTCACCACTCACTTGACTTTTGATTTAAAGAGAAACTAAAAATTTAAACAAACTTAAAGATTATTAACCTGAAAAAATATCTCTCTCATTTTTAAATCGCAGAGGTGAGATTCAAAGATGTACTTTACACACTGTCACATCTAGCATTTTGCAGAGACAACAGGTCGGCCCTGTCCTACGGTGTCCCTGAAGGTCAGCTTAAAAAAACAACAACAAAAAAGACATGTAATTCAACATATTTTGAATGAAATTAAAAACACACCATGTAATTAAATAAATGTACTGACCAAAGAGAATTGAACAAAACCTAAAAATATTTCAAAGACATAAAAATGTGTCAAAAATTTGGAAGGATTTTATTAAAAGAAAAAAATATTTAAATAAAAAAAAAATTTTCATGAAATAAATTTTTCTTTTTCAGTTGAGAAAATTTTGTGTAATTCAGGTGTTTTTTTAAAATATTTTTTACAACATACTTCTACATTTGTTAAAAGTCTTTTTTTGTTTGTTTGTTTCTGCGTTTTGTGAGATTTTTGTGCAGTTGACCATCGGGGCCACCGTACTGTCCTGGTGTGGCGTTGGTGTTGTGATCTTAAACCTGTGCTGCAAAACAAAACACAGACCAGACTCGACTAGACCAGAGACCCTGACCATCTTAACATGGTCCAGCTCCCATAAAGAAACAACATCAGTCGTGTCGACCTCAGGAAAGAAGCTAAATTAAAACAAAGCCGTTTAGTAAAACTGAAAATAACACGTGAAAATTTTGGGTCAGTATGTGTCGTCTGTCTCTATGAGAGGGATCGGTTCAACACGAAAAAAAAAGAGAAGATGGCTGCAATTAAAATTTCAAGTCCTCCTATCGAGTTAAGGGTCTTGTCTAATGCAGGGGAAACGGTGCTCCAGCTGAAGTGCGCGTTGCAAAATGAAAGGTTTCGAAATTTACAATCACGGCACAGGCCGGGAGCAAGCTGGTGTCCAGGTGGACATCTTTGGGGAGGCGGTGGAGGCGGAGGAGGGGGAAAGATTATACATATAAATTGTAAAT